ATATCAATATTTATTTCTTAGTAACTTCGCCCTTTCGTTTTGGACATTATTTCCGTCATACGATCAACTCTGATTATTATTCTCTTATTTTAAATGAATGGTTTCCTTACATATCTACGCGTCATACTCGTTACATACATTCCGCCTCTATTGGTCAATATAGGTACTCTTTGTATGTGATAAACGGGGTTGGCTACTTAACAACCGAATATCATAGACAATACACAGTAACTACATATTTTATTATGAAATTGTTTATTAGATTAAAATAAGTGTAAGGTATGGATCTGAATAGCAACACATTTTCACTTACTATTATTTTTGAGTGAAATACGCAGGTGAAAACAAAAAAAGGAAAAATAATGGTAAATATAAAAGTAACGGCTTATATATATATGTCTCATCATAATAACCTCTGTATTGGGGCATTGTCCATCACGCACGCGACCTCAGGATTGGCAGACTTCACTTCAATATTTCAATAACTCAATATTTAATTCATTGGTGCCAGCATCGGCATTTGAACTCAGGTCGTTCGAGTTTATTTAATTAAAAGCGAGCGTTCAGAAAGTGAGTTATTACGGCTTAAAATAAAAGTAAAGGTTAAAGTTTTGAGTTAAAAGTTATTAAAAAAAACCGCGGAAATTCGCTTTCAGGTTGCATACAACATTCACTATATGAAATTATTTTGACTTCTTGGCGACTACTCTTTTTAGTGATAAAGAACTTAAAAAAAAACACGATAGTATTTACACCCATTATCAACAATATGATTTAATATTATTGATGATATGATTATGATGATGATGAGATTGATGAGCGTCAATGCACAAATAATTGATCAAAAATGTTATTTTGAAATACTGCCAACATTATTATAAAGTTTTTAAATTTCGTATAAGTTTTTAAATTTGAAAAAAAAAAAATCGCACTTTATGGATATGGGAAAAGTCGGCAAGGATTAAAGTATGTACATTATCGATACACTAAGATAAATTAGGTTCAACCATTTCCGTACCTACAATAAAATAGCAAATTTTCTTACAGTAAATTGATATTTATTCATAGTTAATAATTATAATAATTTTTGTTCAATATGTTTCAATATTGTATAATAAAATTTGCAAGTGAAAAACGATAGTGTCGTTATCATAGAATTTTACGAAAAAACTAAAAAATGACTAATTTAAAATAATTTAATATCTATATAGGAATAGTGTATTCCGAGGACAACATTTATTATAAATATCGCCGTACCTACTTACAACACATCAGATAGAAGTATGCGATCATTGTGCCTCCGTTAAAAACCAAGTAAACAACTATTTTTAATAGAATGATGCAAAGATAATTTTGTTTCTTTGAAGATGTATGTATATAATGTGTTTTTGTCTCAATAATATTGTATTGCGAAATGAAACCAAAATTGAGTTCCTCTGAAAAGAGAATATTTTTTATTAAACACTAGATATATTATTCTACTTATAATGCTTACTAACATAAACTTAATAAATCTTACCTGGATAGAGAAACAACATTTAAGGCTATTACGACAAAAAAAAACTTATTTTAATATTATAGTAATCAACAAAATATGTTCATTAATAGGAGCCAACAGTTAGTTTTTAATTACAATGACATTAATCCTTAATTAAACTTGCTACAGATGATATCACAGACAATATTGAACATAATCCATATTTAATGAAGACCAATGATTTTCGTTTACATATATGTATATAATATAATTTAATACCGATAAATATACGATTTCTTGAAATGACAATGGCTGTCTAATTTTATTAACCTCACAAAGTTAAATTTTAATGGCAGAAATGGAACCCTAAAAATAGAAACATACGTGTGTGCATCTTATCATGCAACATTTCAAATAACAGCAATTATACTCTGATAGCCTTTCGCCTCTGCCATCTGAATATGTTGTTTTATTTGTAATAAAAATCGATAATATTTATTAAACGTCAAGAAACATAGGTTCACAATTGTATGCATTTAACTAAATTATGAAGCATATTAAAATATTATGGGTAGTTTTGGAGGAGGGGGTGTCCTGATTTTTAGCTTCATCCCCACTTCTTGTATGAAATTTACCCCCTCTAGAGAATCCCGAAGAAGAGCAATTTTCTACAACAGGGAAAAATATACTCTTATCAAGTTGACGGATTAATTATTAATTACACCTTCATCAGAAAAATTAACAACATTTAGACGATACCGCAATATTTGCAATAAGCTTGTAAAAAAAATAAACGGAACATATTTTTACACATCGTTATGTAGTTCCAAACTAAGCAAAGCTTGTACTATGGATACTAGGCAACTGATAAACATACTTAAATATACTTTTCTTTTGTAAATAAATACATGCTATACATATATAAACACCCAGACACTAGAAAAACACGATGTTCATCACACAATATTCCGGTAGTGGGGATCGAACCCACACCCTGGCGCAGGAGGCAGGTACACTACCCACTACACCATTCGGGTCTCTAAGTAACAGCCTATATCATATCATTTCTGCTTATTGTATCGGGACACCCTTATTTATACCGCGTGTTTAAAATATATCGATTTTTTTATACTAAAAATAAATTAAGATTGATGCGACTATCCTTTAACCTACTCTAAGTTATTGGATGGATCTTGGGTAATACATTGACACGTATGTTAAAACTAAACGGTCCATCAAAGTTATTCGCGTATAGTCCTTAATTTTACCCTTGATCGAATATGGCGATGTGTGTCAATAATTTGATCGTCTTCTTAATAACTATGGTCGATTAATTTTCAATCGTCCAAAGTATAATCTTGGTTCTCATACCGCTATCATCTAAATTTGTTACACATTCGTCAAAGCCGTAGTTTGCGTGTACTCACCACTCTTCATGACAACTTAAGTCTCTACTTAAAATTTCTGTGTTCTTACCATGACAGAACCCATAGCTTTTCAAACAACTTTTTACTTAAGTGTCTTTCCTACAACTCTGGCTTCGTTTATTCTTTCTTTCTATTTCAGTAAATTTTTCTTTGGGAAGCAGTTTCTTTTAAAAAGGAAGATTAACGATTCTTATGCATTTAAAATCAAAATAATGTCTTTCTTTAACATATCATATGTGTATATAATTATATAGTGCTATAAACGTAATTATTTTCTTATCCTTTAAACGAGCAATTATTGTATATACAGCGTGTCTTTACTATCGCGACAATAAATGAACACACATATAGAGGATAACTTTTTAAAATTGTATTAAACTTTTACTTTCTTTAAACATCAATATTTACAGAGTTATTAAATTTTCCAAAACAAAGAATTTTAGAACATCCTTACGAACTGTGTAACTGTAACGTAAAGTTCATTTGTAAAGGTCACAAAGCATATGAATGGGTTGAAATAATTTAAAAGAGACAAAACATACTGTTAGAAGGAGAGGCTTGTAATGCGACGCTGTGGCAACGAATGAAAAAGTCTCTGAATGTATGAATCAGTCAGTTGTAGTTGTATAAGATGTTAGTTTCTTTTTTACTTAATTAGTTTGTTTGAAAAATATTTTTTTTTAATTATGGATTTTATTTAACGTTAATGTTTTTTTATGATTATGGGCAACTAGCGTTAGACGTGTGTTCATTTATTGTCGCGATGGTAACGACACGCTGTATAATCGGAATCTCAGAAACGGCTCCAGCGATTTTCATGAAATTTAGTATGTGCGTAGATTCGGGGGCAAAAACCGATTTGGCTAGGTTTCATTTTTAGAAAATGTCGTTTTATCCCAGTTTTCAGGGAATAAAAAATATCATTCGAATACGACGGTAAATTTCACAAAAAAAAATGTTATAATATCTCGGTCGGTAATCGGGCGGCCCCGAAACAGAAGGCCTTGGTTCGTGTCACGATCATTTCTTTACACTTACTTTTTTTTCGATTCCAGATCATTGCTTTCTTTATTTTTAATTTTTTGTCGATTTGTTATTTGTTTTCCTTTTTTTCAATTTATTTCTTTTGTGAAAAACATCAGTTCATATTTTCTTATTACTGCGTCGTTAAGATCGAAAATATATGCATATTTCATTACTCAGTAATTTGTATCTAAATATAATTTCCAAAATACACTCCAGGTACTTATCATAGACACTGGTATTTATCATAGACATCAATGTACTTGTTATTTCTTTTTGTCTCCTTAGTCCTCTATATATTAGTCCTATGAAATAATATTATTTTTTAATTTGATACGGTGGCAAGCGATTTGACACGGTTAACTTGATGTGATTACTGCCGCCCATGGACATTTGCAACATCCGTAGGGCTGTAGAAGCTTTGCTACCTTTTAATATAGTAGAAATAAAAATTCTTTATACCAGATATTTTTAAGCCTCTTATTGTGTTTTGACTTGATGACCGGGTGCACCAATGGTGGTTGGAGATGGTTTACCGCATAATGCCCCTGGAAAATCTGTATTTTCAGCAAGTCGAGTTTGCGTTTTAAGCGTAGGACTGATATATGTGTACGCTAGGTACTACACTCCTAAGTTACTGTTTATGGAGCGGTGTACGGCGGTATACGCTTCTACAACCAAAGAGTACTTTTATGTATCTGAAATCTGTCTACAACAAAATTCCATTAAATCCGCATAGCCAGCCTATTTACAGGTTTAGGAAATTTATTTAAGAATTTTTTTATAAAAAAGGTTAATATAAACTAATAAATTAATGACAATAACTCCTGGGAATGAGTTGATCGCCCCCAAACTGTATTTAAAAAAAAATGTTTCATATTTTAAAGCTTTGAAAAGACCATGACAAAAAAGAGGATACTAAGGTGTTTCTTTCGCCCGTTTCTTCGTTAGAGGAACCTCATCAGGAAAAGGTGGTAGATCTAAAAAAACGTCTACCGACAGATGAAATGTATGTTTCTAATTTTAATGAATAAATAATTTGAGTTGATTTTGAAATGTTTATCTCTTTCCAGGTAGCAGTCGACCCACGGTTGCAAATGATACGTTTCAAAAAATTATCGGATCATTCGGCAAATATCAGTTTTGGCTCGTGTGTCTTATAATCGTGGCAAAATTCCCCGTAGCTTCCCATCAAATGGCTATAATCTTTTTGGCCCCGAAAACAAGTTACGTATGTCAAGATACGAATGCTGAAACGTGTCCATGTGCGAATCCAATATACGATACTTCGATATTTAATAGCACCATAACAACGGAATGGAACCTTATATGCGAACGAAAGTGGCTGACAAGTTTTACGCAAACGTTGTTTCAATTGGGCACCTTACTCGGCAGCATTATTTTTGGAATGGCTTCAGACAGGTAATGACTCTTTTTATTTCACTACATTTCCTTGACACTTCTTGGTTCTTGGACACCTCTTGGTTAAAATTATACGAAAGTTTTATCTACACATGTTTATGCCTTATCTTAAGATGGGACTAGCAATAAATTTCGTCTCTCATGGTACCTGGATATGGGTACATCACTGGCTTCGAGCCGTTGAGGCCCCTAATATCGGCGCCCGTAGAAGTTGGGTGAGAGCGGTGAGAATTTCCTCGGACATCAGCGATATTACTGTCTCGTTGCCCGACAACAAACTTAACTTAAAAGTATATTTACTTCACGACGATATTCTGTGACGCTGTAGTAATTCATCGGGCTGGCCTATCCATACAGCAGTAGCTCTTAAATATGGTTAGAAATTGTTAGCAACTAAACAGTTTTTCGATATAATTTTTCCTTCAAATTTAAGATTCGGAAGGAGGCTACCTCTACAAATATCAGTCCTTATGCAAGTGGTAATGGGAATTGCGGCGGCCTACACTCCAGATTTCTGGACATTCACGTTTATCCGGTTCTTTATTGGCATGTCCGTTGGTGGCGTCATGGTGACAACTTTCGTAATAATCATGGAGTTTGTCGGACCCGAACATCGTGACGTGTTGTCTGCGTTGTATCAAGTGCCATTCAATTTGGGGCACGTCCTGTTGCCCGTTTGGTCCTACTACCTCAGGGACTTCTCGGATTTCCAGCTCGGTATCTCTGTACCGACGATCCTTTTGCTGGTCTACTTTTTCCTGATACCGGAATCTCCACGATGGCTGATAGCTGTGAATGAGACAGAAAAAGCAATAGAGATTTTAGAAAAAGTCGCCAAAGTGTAAGTAATAATTTATGTTAAACGGAATAAATTGATTTTATTATATTTTTGCTAACAATCGTACCATGTATCATGTAAATACAATGGAACATTTTTCCGCTCGTTAAGGTTCAAATGACCGAATTATTGTTTTGTTATATTAAGTTATCCTTGCGTGTTACAATTTATACATAAACTGCTTATTAAATAATTAATAACTCTTTTTTATTTTTAGAAACAAACGGTCGGTGGACGTTCGCAAAGAAGTTGAAACTTATCAGAAAAAACTAATGGAAAACAACACTAAGAGGGGAACCGTCATAGACCTATTCTTAACGCCAAACCTCCGGAAGAATATAATTTGCATGGCGTTTAATTGGCTGAGCTGCAGTTATTGTTTCTACGGGGTATCGCAGTATGTTGGACAGTTGAGCGGCAATGTGTTCGTTAACGTGGCCTCAAGCGCGAGTGTCGCACTAATCGGCAGTTTCTTATCAATACCGCTGATGAAGCTGATGGGGCGGAAGACAATTGTGATACTGTTCAACTTCATCTGTGCTCTTTGCTTGTTATTATTATGCATCGTCCCCGAAGGCGTGGGCTCTGTCGTGTGCGCGTGCATTGGCGTCGTCTCGAGCTTCATCGCTTTCGTAGTCGTTTATTTGTACTGTTCGGAGCTATTCCCGACCGTCGTTCGCAATGCGGCGCTCGGTTTCTCGTCCATGATGGCGCGTGTCGGTTCTATGATCGCGCCTTTTGTCGTGGAAATGGGGGACATAGCGGGCTGGTTGCCGCCGCTAGGGTTCGCTGTCGTGCCGCTAATAGCCACTTTGGTCACGTTCCTCCTGCCCGAGACGAAGGGCTGCACATTGACGACAACGATCGACGAGGGCGAAAACTTCGGCAAGAAGTCCGATGACAAAATATCAAAGCCGTCCGATAATGTCGAGTAGTCATTTGTTGAACTGCTAGCTTAATTTTATTAAATTATGTCGAGTGTTGCGTGCCTATTAACTACGGGGATTAGAATTTATTTGTGTAATTACATCACGACCGTTGCAAGGTGAACCCGCAAGCGAAATGAACGGTAATAGTCAACAAGGACAAATATTAAAGTAGGTAAAATTGTACATGCACAGTTCAGAAAGTAGCTGGGAAACTCAAATTGAGCCGTGAAAATAAATTTGCTTTTAGTAAAATTAGATTGTTCCTTCGTAGTTTTTTGAAGTTATACTTCGCGTTATGAAAGAAATAATGAGTGTGGATTTTTATGATGCGCGCGCACAGCGATATGAATATAACGCCTTAAAGTGAGTCGACGACTTTAACACATTACTGATTTTTGAGACAACACTAAAGGAAGATTCATTCAGAGATGAACTCTGTGTTAATTTTATTTTTATTTTGCTACGATAAATAAGTATAACTCTTAGGTGCGTTCATAAGTACACAAATTCCTTACGATTATGCTAAAAAAGAAAACAATGGAAAATATTTACAAAAATAAATATAGGATCTTTCAACATTTAATAGAAATAAAAATGGCAGCTCCGCTTGTGAATTCCATATTTTTTATTTTTTCAATGTCTAATATTAGTAAATTAGTATACATATAAATGTTTTCATTAACTTTTGAACGTATTATGTTACATGGAAGCCATCTAGATTCGTTAGATAGACCCATATTTTGTATCCCACAAGTATGTTTTTTTAATATATTCATTACTCAAACATGGTTTTAATAAACAACTTGATCGGAAACTTTGGAAAGTATCACATATGGATTTCCTTTATTATTTTTCTTAATAAATTCGGTGTGGGGTTGCACCAAATGGCCATCATATTTTTGGCTCCTCCCACACATTACACATGTCCAGACATAAATAAGGTTTGCTGTGAGAATCCTGTGTATAATACGAGTCTATTTACGAGGACGATTATAACGGAATGGAACTTGATATGCGAAAAATCTTGGCTGAAGGACTTCACACAAACCATTTTCCAATTCGGCGTCCTGATTGGAAGCGTGGTATTTGGAGCTGCATCTGATAGGTATTGTTCAAATCTTATTTATTAAGCAGTTTTACTATAAAAAATTCTGTGAATTGCATGTAATATATTATATGTTAGACCGTAAAGTTATTTACTTTTATTTATAATTTTGTACTATAGGTACTAAGTCGAAACCCATTCGGGATTTTTTTGTAATCTATGTGCAGTGTCTAAGATCTAGAGAAGTGCGTATAATAATAATAAATAATAACGAGTTTAATTTGAAATTATTTAAAAGAAGTACCTTTAGCTAATTAGTAACAAATTATTCTTATAATAGTTAATAAACGTATTCTTCTCATAATGCGCATGAATTCGATGATAATATCTAGAAAGTAATAAATGTTAACGTAATTGTAACATAATGTGTGATTGAAATGTGCTCTTGTCATGTAATACACGTACAGTGTTCGTTCTTTTCACTCTTGATTTCTTGAATTGATTCACGTTTGATTACTATTGTTTAATATGATGATATGACTGATATTATATATCATGATATTGAAATTAAAATGTTAATATTGATGTTTAAAAAATGTAAATGTTTAATACAATTTTAAAAAGTTATCCCTTATATGTGTGTTCATTTATTGATGCGATTGTAAAGACACGCTGTATAGTGTTTGAGTTTTCTTCAGCTTGGTATCCTGTAATTTACGAAATTAAATCCAAGCACACAAGTACTTTAAGACCTCAAGGACATATACCTAAGCATCTTTAACGAACATCAGACTAAAATCAAAATAATTTCCGGTTGGTAGTCATTTTATAATGAAGGCGTAAAAGAACTCTGTCTCGTGGTAACAAAATTGTTTCAAACATTAGACGAATTTAAAAACGAAATAAATGGCTATAATAACTGTTATTTTATTTAACCATTTATATACGATATACTTAATAGTGGTAAAGAAACCGGTAAAAAATTACGTACATATTCAAATTTTATTCATTATATGGACTTTTAAGAAGATATGAGGACTAAAACGCTACACCTACTTTTCAATGGTGTTCAGTTTTCAAGTTCAAAAATATTACGTTATCCAAACTTTGACATTGAATGATTTCTAATATCATTAAACTGCAACACTCGTGGGATGCGTTAAGAATCTATAAAAAGCGAAATGCCAAAAGAAAAATAATTCAATTTCACACCGATCCTTGTGGTGCTTTCCCGGACCGATTTATCTAGACAACAGCAGAAGTTACTGTTTCATTCTAACAAACAATAAGCAAGTAATATTACAATGTTTTGCATGTTTCAGATACGGTAGGAGACAAACGCTAATCATTGCTGTTGTAATTGAATCCCTATCAGGTATTCTCGCATCATTTCTTCCTGATTATTGGAGTTTTACAATAGTTAGAATGGTGTTAGGCTTTTCCGTTGGGGGAATTATGGTAATCGGATTTGTGATTCTAATGGAATACGTTGGAATTGTGTACAGAGATATTTTGTCGGCGCTGTTTCATGCTCCCTTTACAGTGGGTCATATTTCTTTGGCGCTGTTCGGATATTTCATAAGGGATTACACTTATTTACAATTGGCAATATCTGTAATAAATATAGGACTTCTTGTGTACATTTGTATTTTACCTGAATCACCAAGATGGCTATTAGCTGTGGACAGATCCGTGGAAGCTATAGAATTGATGGAACGCATATCCAAGTTGTGAGTGACGATTTTTTCTTTTTCTGTTGTTCTTAATCCCCTGCCAATAGACACATTATAAAGGATACTTCTTATGTTTCAGCAATGATCTTCCTGTGGATGGCATATCGACGCAGATCGAATTATATCAAATGGAACATAAATCAAGGCGGGCGAAGCGTGGCTCAATATTGGACTTATTTCGATCGCCAAATATGCGAAAGAATATACTAATTATGGCATTCCTGTGGCTTGTCTCCAGCTATTGTTTTTACGGCGTTGCGCAATACGTTAGCCATCTAACGGGTGATATTTACACAAACGTCGTCGCTAGTGGTAGCGTGTCCTTGTGCTCTTGTTTCGTCTCAATACCACTCATAAAATTTTTGAAGCGTAAAACCTTTGTTGTTGCTTCCAACTTGGCGAGCAGTTTGTGCCTTATTTTCATAGCTTTAGTTCCAGAAGGGACGTATTCCATCGTGTTAGGTTGTTTAGGAGTATTCTTCACCTTCATGGTGTTCATTGTGGTGTATTTGTACTGTTCAGAAATGTTTCCAACGGTAGTGCGTAACGCAGCCATTGGTATATCTTCAATGATGGCGCGAGTGGGGTCCATGATAGCGCCTTTCGTCGCTGGACTGAGACCTTACGGTAAATGGTGTGCTCCTGTCGCTTTTGCGGTTTTCCCCATTATTTCTGCACTACTGTGTTTACTACTACCGGAGACAAAAGATTGTGAGCTGCCGATGACACTGGAGGAAGGTGAAGCGCTTGGCAAAGCCAACGATAGTACCTCTAGCAATATTGCAACTACAGAAGAAGTTACATAATGTCTATTATTTGTTTTGGGTTTGTTACAGAATAGTTATTTTATGCAAACATTAATGTATATGTATTTGGGTTATATTTGTATAATTGCTTTTATTATTAAAAATATTTGTCGTTAAAATCCTATTTGATTTTCTGAACTTATAAAATATTAAGGTTTAATATCGCGTAAAGAGTTAGAGTAGTTGGGTTTTACGGACGCAATATGGCTTCCAATCCATTAGCACCACTAAGGTTTCTCTGGTGATCGGAGCTCAGTTCAAACGAGTCGCCATGACGGTTGGGGTAGCAATATGCGCTGCCTGGTATTACACCATTCTTGCTGGTAAGCCATTTTATAATACATAGATAATTCCTTTTATAATGTATTTTTCTTTATCCTCTTTTGGCCATTTAGTACGAAACGATCATTTAGTAAAATATATGAAAGTTTTGAATGGCATACAACAGAATAATTAAAACACTATTTTTCGTTTGTGTGACACACGTGTGACTGTATTCAAATAATTTTTCAACTTAGAAATTTGTCACGTTTCGTAATTGCAGGATTCTACGTCCTTTACTGTCCCGTCATGTATTTAATGTTTTTCAAACATAGCTTATATAGAAAAGCTGTCGATGTTTTGTTTTCTTTGTGGGAGCTATATCCTGTGGTAAGTAAATATAAACGTTCTTTGAAGGCTACGTTACTTGTATGGAGCTTAGAGATGAGCAGTTAGTATCGTGTCATAAAATAGAATAATACACTTCAAACTAGAATACACTTGGCATTACTGTACGATAATACGGTCTACATTTAAAAGAAAATGTGGTGTTTAAGAGAAAATTTAATAGATAGATGGCTTGGCATTTTAACGATGAATTTTGAAACTAAATTCGGTAACTTCGTGCTCATTTCCTTTAGTATACTGTCGACACTCTACTATCGATAACTTCAGGTCTTAGTTTAATGCTAATATTTGAACCTTTCTGGTCTTTTATTAAATTCTTATACTTACACATATGAGATACTACTTCTTATCCACTACACTCCATAGTTGCTAGCTATTTATTTATTGTCAGATGTAATAGACAATGTTGGTCTGGAATTTAAATAATTCAAGTATTTCTTTTTTGTTTATGTGAAAAGGTAGAAAGCGAGCCGGCTGTTCATCTGATATTATATAATCCGCCGCACATTGAGATTACAGATGCGTTGTCACCCCTTAATAATGTGGGACTCGGCTACCTCACTCATTAGACGAAACGCAGAAGTAAATATAACTCTTCCACTTTGCATACGCCGGTCTTCTGTAAGTCTTCTGTAAGTCTTGGTACTTACCCGGACGGACCTGCACATTCATGCAACGATTTAATTTCATAATTGGCTTACGAGCAACTTCGACGTTTTATTATTAGAAATGTTAAAACAGGTTCTACATAGATTTTGTTCCAAAAAATTGTTGCAAAGTTCTGTTTTCATAAGAACAGGTCAATTCTTCTAGGCTTTGTTCCAGTGGGTATACCATACCCATCTAAGTTTGTTCGGAGACTACGTTAACCCAAATGAAAATATCATAATTATTATGAATCATCGTTCTCGGGTCGATTGGAATTACTTATGGATAGCATTGTACCATGCAGCCCAAAACATCAAACATGGTGACTTAAAGGGAAGGGACGAAAATGATATTTTCGATACAATTTCTGGTGGAAAATCCCGGATCAAATTTGTTTTGAAGGATGAAATCAAATTCGTGCCGGGAATGGGTAAGAAAACAATATTTTATTGAATACATCTAACAGAATAATGCATATGTATGAACTTATAGTAATACTAGCGGACCGGACACGCGTTGTACTGTACACACGACGTAAATCCGACAACTAAAAAAAATGTTGATCTCAACCATTCTCGAATCAACCTGAAGACATACAAAACATTTCATTAAAATCGGTGCAGCCGTTTAGGAGGATTTCAGTGACATACACATTGTACAGAAGAATTAAATATATAAAGATATAACAGTATGTAGGTAAGACAAGGAAAATGTTTATTTGTTATGCATACATTTTAATTGATCATTTTGATTGATTGAAGCCGTGACAGCTCAGTGTCCGGGCTCGCCTTTAAATCAATATACTCGAGCAACCTGAGTTCGATCCCCGGTGCCGGCACCAATGAAATTGTTAATTTCAAGTATTGAATTATCACGTGCAGTAAAGGAAAACATCGTGAGGAAACCTGCATATTTTCGAAATAATAATTAAAAGAAATTGTTTCGAAGATATGTGAAGTCCGCCAATCCGCAGTGGGCCGCGTGGTGGACTATGCCCTGATATCCTCTGCCTTTGCCCAGCAGTGGGACATGTACAGGCTGATAATTTACTTTTTACGTTTTAGTTAGAAAAGAAGATAAAGCAATAGTAATCGTAAGCCTAAGAGCTAATATGTACATATTATGTCGTCTATGAAGCATCTGATCAAGATCACAGATAATTTAATCCACACAAAGATTGTGAATAAACAAAAAATGATCTGAAAAAGTAGCGTTAATATTACAGAAAAAGATCGCTTATTAGCAGTAACGAGGTGATATTAAATAACTTCATGGTCCATTTCAGGTTGGATAATGCAGTTGAATTATTTTCTTTACGTGAAGCGTAACTGGCAAGAGGATAAAATTAATCTAACACAATTCGTGGACTATTACAGAAAACTTCGATATAAGAATCGTATAGTTCTTTTCCCCGAAGGTACTGATTTGAGCGATGACAACAGACGTCGGAGCGATAAATTCGCCGATGTCAATAAATTGCAGGTTATTCATTTTTAGCAAAAGCTAAGGCCAGAAACTGTTAAGTTAAATTAATAAATTTAGCCATAAGTTCTATTACAAATGAAAATGCATTTTTTTTAATGAAGTAATGTAATATTATAAAAATGTTACCTACATATTTATTAACGTCTCAGCAAAAAATAAAAAATATTCTATTCGAAATAGCCACCTTTAGCTTTTATACAGGCCTTTAATCTGTTTGGCCACGAATCTATGGATTTACGCACTGTTTCCAAGGGAAATTTCGCCACTGCTTGCGCCAAAAATTTTTTAAAAGACTCAATGTCGCCGTTTCTTTTAGAATAGGCCATGTCCTCTAAAACTGACCATAATTTGAAGTCTAAAGGGTCTGAGTCTGGGCGCCAACTATCCTGGTCCTGGGCAGCCCGCATCCATCCGCTGCCCTCCACCTTTCTTAAGTCGTCAGTCCATCGTGCTGCAGTCCGTTCCACACTACATTTTCCTAACCGTGGTGTTCACTCTAACATGTGTCGGCTCCAGTACACGGGGAGAGTGGATTTGAATAAAAGATATTAACAATTAATGTAATGCAATCGGTGTTGCAGCGTTACGAGTTTGTGCTGCATCCACGCACAAAGGGCTGGGTAGCTTTGTGCTCCCGTTTCCGGAGCGCAGGATTGACGTCAGTTTACGATGTCACCGTGGCGTATGACAAGCCCGTCACTGAACTCGACATGATTAGAGGGAGGCTGCCTCAACAAATCTCTTTTCATTTCAAGCGGTAAGTTTATTGCGCCATCTCATAAACTAAATGCGAAAAAAGTGCATTAACTTTTTAAAGAGATAAGAACTTGTGAAAGATGTTAGCTTTTGTCTGCCTCACAGAAGACCGGCGCGTGAAGCGGAAGTATATTTAAGTAATTACTTCTATGTTTCAACTCATGCGTTAGGTAACCGGGGCCAATTTTTTGTTATAAATAGCAACTTCACGGATTTTGTAGATTTTGTAGACGGACGGTCCATGGGTGCCTGTTATCACTTAACATCTGGTGAACCGCCAGCTCGGTGCAAACTTCTCACATTAAATAAGTCTATTTGATTACAAAATTGTAACCTGTACTTATGTACATGTACCTATTTACTTTTCTTTACAACTTTAAGTAGGGGAGACCGGGGTTGGAAGTCACATTTTTGTATTTTGAATTTTTAAGTCCCCATATTCTTGGCAAATCAATTAAATTTATATCTCAATGGATAGTATACTAATCTAGTTTCAAAATAAATTAATACTTCTTGACATTAACATTATCCATTGAGTAAATATTACATTTTTGAGAAAAAGGAAAAGTGTGACTTCTAACCCCATGTCAGGGATGGTTGTCACAATGCCAGGGGTAGGTAGTCACACTGTAAATCAAGGGAGGAAAATATAATAAAAACCACCTATTTAAATTAAATGAGTAGGTATTTTTATTAGAAATAGAATCTTGAACTGGTATACAAAATGAAAAGAGTAAAATATTCATTATAACAATAATAGTCAACAAATTCACTTATACATAATTTCCATTTAACAAAATCAGAATTCTTGTTACGAAAACAATAAAAATGTAATCATAAATGCGGACGATATAATATGAAGTCAATCCAAGTAATCAGTCTGGATATTTAGATTCACAATTTTGGCAAATGTATCAGTAATCAGCTTTCCGTGGCTTGCGCGGAGGAGTTTTTGCACCATAGTCACCCCAATTTCGTCCATGTTCCATATTTTAAGTTTAAAAAAAAACTGTTGACATTTTGTGGATTAAAACTGGTGGATCGAGCAAACTAGTGGATTCGGGTCTTCTAATGGACAGAGAAGGATGTTTCTTCATAAACGACGTAAACCAATCGCAGCCAGCTAGCTTGTTTAAATCCCAAAAGTGTGGAACTTTCAACCTATTGGAGATAGCAAGCTCGTACGTTATTATGTAGCAAAATTTCAAAAAGCCAAAAAAAAGCCAGCATACATACATGTGGGTTGGTTGTAACATGTGACTACCAGCCCTCGTTAAGCTGGGACAACCTGCCCCGAAACACATTTTAGAAAATAACCCTAAAAAATAAATCTAAATCGGTGTATATTTATAAAACTATATAACAATATCGTGAGCCATATATTTAACTTAACTAATACATGAATAGGTATTTTACAATGCAAAATTTAGGCATACTTACAAGGATCGACACAGATGCACGAAAAATTACTTTTGGTGAGAAAAAAAAAACAAACGCACGTTTCTCCGTCACGGCGTTTCGGAGCGAACCTAAGTGAAGTGGGGAGGGAGGTGATGCTTTCGCGATTCTTTGACGTCGATCAACTTTCGCATTCGTTCGTAAACTTTTCTGTTATGACCGCTGTGACAACCAACCCGTGAGACAACCATACCCGGTCTCTCCTACTTTTTCTACAAATTTAATGTTCAATGTGCAGAGATTAGCACTATAAACATTTTTAACTTTAAGTATTTTAGCCTCTGAGCTAAATGGCTGATAGCCACAGCGGCGACAATCTTTTCGTATTTTTTCAACATGTTTTAATGTTCAATCTTAGTGCAGAGATTAGCACTATAAAAAAAAACTTTAAAATTTATAAAAAAGCAATGGCGACATCTCTCGTTCGAATTATCGTTGTAAAACGATATTCGAAATTGTTTGTATGCTGGAAAGGATATAACAATAGATGCGCCAAGCATTGCTTCAAATGCTAAATAACAATGTAGAAAGAAGGCGTTAAGATTTTCGTCGCTGTGGCTATCAGCCGTTTAGCTCAGTGGCTAGAGCGTCAGGCCGCGAATGCCGAAGACGTGGGTTCGATTCCCGCATCGGCGACAATCTTTTCGTACTTTTTCTACATGTTTTAATGTTCAATCTTAAGTGCAAAGATTAGCACTATAAAAAAAAAACTTTAAAATTTAAGTATTTTCTTTTCTTTTACACTTAGATATACAGTAAGGTGCAAAACTGAGTCAGTATGTTACATTTTTATAAAAAGTAGCATAAAAAAATATTGGATTAATTAATTATTAACAAATAAATGATGTCATTAAAAACTAGATTTATTCATTAATTTTATTAAGAAAGTCCGATAGTCTTGAACATACTTTTGGTTTATAATTATCATAAGAAGAATTGGTTCACTTTTGCACAAGTTAAAAAAAATACTGATTTTATAATTTTAATATTTAGTCCAAAGACCTTTTGCTTTTATAACAGCACGCAATCTGTTCTCCACTTTTTACAAGTCTTTCACAATACTCAGGTAGAACTTGGTACCACTGCTCTTGAACACGTTCCCAGAGAACAGTAATGTTCGATGGTGGTGCTTTATATTCATTTAAAAGCATGCTCTTCAAGTATGCCCATAAGTTTTCTATCGGATTGATATCCAGACTCTGAGATAGCCAGGGCAGGACCTGAAACTCTTGTTTACTCAACCAATTTTTTACTATTTTCGATGTGTGCTTCGGATCATTATCCTGCTGGAATATTACTTCATTAACAGGGTACGGCATATTTTCAACAATTTCCAACAGATGTCTGAAGAATGTTGCGGTACATTTTCCCGTCCATATTTCCTTCGATTTTGTAAATTGGTCCAACGCCATAAGCTGTTAGACAGCCCCACAATTTAATATTGCCACCACCATGTTTCACTGTTTGTATAAAATCTTTTGCTTGTAATGGTTCACCGACTTTCTTCCAGTTTCATTTTCGACCATCTGTACTGTATCTATTAATTTTGGTCTCATCTGACCAAATAACTCTCATCCAATCATTCTTAGTCCACTTAAAGTATTCTTTTGCAAATTTATTTCTTACTTTGATATTTTTCTTAGTAAGAAGAGGTTTTTTTTCTTCTCGATAGCTCGCATATTTGCTTTGTGTAACCCCCGACAAACAGTCCACTTACTCACTGACGTGCCAGTGTCTTGCTTTAAAATTGCTGCCGCTTCAGAAGCTGAAGACGCTTCATTAGATCTTAAATAGTGAATAACTTTTCTTATGTCTCTATCAGATAATTTTTTGTGCGTCCGCCAACATTAATCGGTATAGGAAATTTACATTTGGTTCTAATTCTTTGTATTGTTGATTGACTTACGTTTAATTCTTGAGCGATATATCTTGTCGATTTCCCATTTTGAAGTAGCTCTTTAACATATTCTATAATATTCTTTGCAATCGGTTTCATGTTTGTATCGAAAAGAGATGTATTAAGTTAAACCGTTCACTATGCTGTATCGAATTAAACTGAGTAATAAACAAAGCGGAATCATATTTCTATACTAATCCTGACAAGTTTAAACACGTTTATACTTGAGCGCGAAGACATTTTTTAACACGGTGCAAAAGTGAGTCAATCAATATTAACTATCTCAAAGTTTTAAAGCGTAGATATTGGATAAAAATTGTACGGGTGAAATAATTAGTGGGTTATATTTTCTAATAATAACATATACGATTTCAAAAGCTTTTAACTAGTGATGATTGATTGATTTGATAAAAAATTGAATGAAAATGAATTGAAAAACAGTGCACTGACTCAGTTATGCACCTTACTGTATTTAAGTTTGGATATGGATTGTTTTTAGTCGCATAGTTATGGTTAAGAAAAGTTATTTTGTGGAAAGGAAATTATTTACTTAACTAAAAATATTTTTGTTACTGAAGTGACATGCAATAACATAGTGAACTTTGAAGTTTTTTTTAAAAACAGAAGCAAATATTCAAGCAGTCATAAAAAACCCTTCAATTTAAGATTATAACCCTTATTAAGTAATTTAATGGTATCCCAGAACGAGAGTAAATAAATGCGAATTAATAAATTGATCAATTTATTTGCGGCGATGCTACCTTGTTCTCCTCCATTGTAATTAATGCATTTCAACTTATCTTGAATTCAATTCCTTCTTCTGTTGATAATGTTCCTCATATTTTATTTCCTGGTGATCTTTAAAGAAATATCGTCAATACGTACACACAGAGTGCTGGATTGATAGTTTTTGTTAGTTTCTGATTTATTCCACCTATTTAAAAACATGTTTTACTGACGTGATATGTTACAGTTTTAATTGCCATGTGATCTAATTTAATGAAATCAAACGTGTTAAACAATTTTTATCTCCTTGTACTATGTTATTCAAACCTGTCGGTTGACTGGTGCACGTTTTTGCGTAAGCGTGTTTGGGTATGTGCGTGTATTTGTATGTATTTCAGTGTGAGTGTTTGCTGGACTTGAAATTAACTTTTGTTGTAAAAATTTTTTTGTTAACATTTTTTTATTTTCGTAATTAATATACTTATTTGTATACACAGATAAATTTCACTTTGGTATTTTATTCCAGCCACCCAATTGATCATATTCCTTTAAGTGACGACGCTCTCAAAGATTGGTTAAATGACCGCTGGCGTGAGAAGGAGCACAGCCTTCGTAAATTTCATACAGAGGGTAAGTTAAAGCATATTTTGAATTGGCAATAAAATGTTCTTCGACCACATAAAAACAAAAAAATTTACTCGTACATATGCGAGTATCTCGATCATAACACGCAATTATGCTTATAATAAATTAACCTTAATCTAGACTCTAGTAAATGGGGCGAATTCTTCTCCAGGTCAAAACATAATTGTCTTTTTAGTTTAGCTTATTACATTTTATGTTTTAATAGATTGATTAACTATATGATACGTTTAACCCTTGGTAACATTGCTTTGAATATCCCATGGTGTTACATACATCTCGTAAAGTAGCTTACGTACGAAAACGTACGAAAAGTACCTAACTATATGTGACCACGTGTCACACCACTGTCGTCATATGTGGTTTGCGGTTTCTTTATCAGTGATTGTGCCATTGTTGTCTATTTTATATCACATTTTCTAAGTTCTACGACAACTTAGCTACTATGGTTATAGATAGGCACGATTTATTTTACTTCAAACAGTTAGCAGTAATGTTTTATGAAGATAATGCTGTCAATGTGTATATAGTAAGGTTACCTTAGCAGTTTTATGTAATTTACGTTTATTTTATACAATAACACAATAGTTAATTGATATTTTCGAGTAAAGGTCTGTGAAAGAGATAGATATGAATATTTCTTATTTTTGTTTTAGGCATTTTCAACGATGCCACAACAAATAATAAGCCAGTTAAAAGAAAACTGCGAAATTTAACAAGAGCCAAAATTGGTTTTGTATTTTGGACATTTGTTGATATTTTTTTCATATACGCAATTTGTACCAGTGTGATTTTCCAATTCTGGGTTTTGTACCATAGCTTACTTTTTATTTTTGTCACTTGGTATTTCGGAGGCTTTCACAATATCCAGTATAAGGTTTTAGAAAAATTTAACGTGTAAATATTTGGTTAAGGAAATTGTTTTGTCGTGTACATTAATTAGGGTCTTTACGATAAATGTGAATTCTCTTCAATGCCAAATATTGTTTAAACTGCTATTTGAATGGGTGTTATTATTAAAGTGTTAAAAATGTTTGGATTTTTTTTTTGTATCTACGTACGGTAAGGACTCGTCTCAACCTGAAGCCACTTTCGCAGTGATTTCGACGCTGTTAAAAGTGTCATATTGTAATAACTACCTTGGCATGGTATTGCGGTTTTTAACACTCTATCAAGTCTTAAATTTTTTGTATAATTATATGATTTGTTTACTCAGTGATATAAATTTAATTGGTCAATTAATATGTAACAACTCAACTAAAATTTATTAAATTACGCTGTTTTATATTTGTTTGTCAATGTTATACATTACAATTATTATTCTGAAAAAAAAAAAAATATCTGATCTGTGTCTTCATTTTTGTACTCGTCGTATGAATGTGTATTTTTTTATATTACTACGACAAACGTCCTTCAATTTGCGTTAAAACCATTCAGTCGTTGGCCAAAACATTACGGGCATCAGATATTTTAGGTTATGTAAGCGCTTTATCTCTGTTAATAGTTTTACCGAATTCCTATTAAATATTTGAAGTTGTCAAGATAAAAGAGATAATATTCTTTAAAGAATTAGTTTTGACCTTGAGACAATCCAACGCATCAGTTATTGTGAAGAATGGAATGTAATAATACATTTATACTTTGTTTTCATCTTCAGTTCCATCATGAATACCAAGTTTTTTTTAGGTGTCCTTATGGAACACAACGCGCCTTCTCTTCGCTTGAATAGGATAATTCCGTCACGCGAGGACTTAATACTGACTGTCGCAGGGTCGCTTTCTTGGGCATATAAGACCTTTATTTAAAGAAGCAATTTGCCATCGCCTCACCACCGATATTACATTGATATTGACTAAAGCACCGTGCCTTGTATAAGTCTGAGAAGAGAGAGAAGAGTCTTCCTTCCGGTCGCTGCATATTTTGAAAATAATAAGAAAAAAAATATTTTCGAAGATATGTGATGTCCGCCAATCCGCGATGGCGCCTGGTGCACTATGCCCTGATACTCACTGTACAGTGGTGGCCTTTGTCCAGCAGTGGGATATGTATAGGCTGATACTTTACTTTTTTACTTTACAAGACAAAGGATCAAGCAAGTAGATAGCTACTGCATATTCTTCTGGAGTCTGAAAAAATCATGTCTATTGTATGGGGCTCCCACTTAACATTTTTTATTTTGTTTTTTAGTATTTGTTGACCGGCAACAGAAAAACATAATCTGTGAAAATTTCAACTGTCTATTACGATAGGGATGCGGAAAAAATAGGGATATATCGATATTTTCTTAAAAATATATTGATATATTTAGATGATATATTTTGATCCGATATATCGATATTAAAAATTGAATATCGCGATTATGATTGCGATATTCAATTTTTGAGCTTAGTGGTTAAAAAGTCTTGACGGAAGAAATCCGGGAGACGTGGCTTCGATTCCCGCAGTGGCGAAAATCTTTCCGTCCTTTTTTAATTACTGTTTATTTTCACGATCGACCGTGGCATATTGTTGCTCATATGAAAGAAACCGATTTTTTTTTATTTTCCTGGACTTCCTAAGTTTTGTTGCCTCCATTGCAAACATTATATTTATGATCATTATTACAAAGATGAATTTTGATGAATTGTTGTTGTTAATTTTACACTAAAATTAATACGTTAAATGGGTCAAATTATATAAAAAATCATTACTATGTAATTTTTTTACTATAAAATTAAAATATTATATTTGAATCCGCGATTTTATTAATGTTACATTTTGTTCTGTTTATTGTTTAGCAGGCTTTAAATTAAGACATATAGTATATATACATATATACGGTCGTTACAATGTCTTAAAAGTGTTACAACATTTGTCATTTGACGTCCAGGATGTCAAATGAATAATAGCTTGAAACTTTTACGACATTGCAACGTCCGTATACTCGTATAATTATATCTAAATACCTGTAAAACGTGCAATTGATTACATAATTTATATAGACGTTGGCTACATATATTATTTTCCCTGCCCTGCGTCAACCGAGTCTGATCATCAGTCTTCGGGATTCGCGCCCAACAAGCTTTACGGCAGGTTTCAAGCCTGCTAAACAATAAACAGAAAAAATCTAACATTAATAAAATCACGGATTGAAATATAACATTATAATTTTATATTAAAAAATTACACTTTAATATTTTTATATAATTTAACCCATTTAACGTATTAATTAATGATTACGACATTTGAACTCGTATTTTATTTTTCATAACCATAAACTTCACATTTACTCTAGAATACCTGTACTGTAGATATATAGTAATTATCCACCAACTTATTTTATCTTAATACAGAAAGCACAGCGGCAACGTCGCACAATACAATAATACATAGGAAAATGTAAATAAAATTATGTATATTATGGGAATCCAGATAATTGTTAGTGTTGGGTGGAGTCCTAATTGATTTCACTATGCTTGTTAATATACGTATATTTGTATATATATTAAGAATTAAAATTTCTGAAAAATAAGTTGTAAGCAGTGTTTGACACTGCCCTAGCGACGAATATTCGCAGTAAAAGTTTTTAAGTGGAACTGGTGGACGTCACAATAATGCCAAATGAAAGGGTGCCCAAAAGGTAGCGTGATGTATATTTGGGTGGAGTGGTATGGTATATATATATACAGTATATATATATATATATATATATATATATATATATATATATATATATATATATATACTGATACATATTATATTTTCCTGAAATGGAAGTATAATACAACGTTTCGCGTTTCATCTAGTGAGTGAGGTAGCAGGAGCCCAATTTACAAAAAGGTTGTCAACATATCTGCAACCTGGGTGTAGTAGATGTTCATGGGCGGCGGTATTTACTGAACATTGGGTGAACCGCCTGCTCTCTTGGCAACATTTCACATAAAAAATATACTGGGACGTTACTTGTTAGGATAATTAACATCTGTGAAAAACGCCAGATCGTAGTTGATAATTTCGTTCCGAAAATTTCCACTACATGTCGCAGTTCACAAAAGTTCTTATTTATAAAAAAAGTGGGACATTTGTATTAGTAGTTAAAATATCGAACGTTTCGTACTATATTATTGTTATATACTATATAGTACAATTGCTTAAAAATAGCACGATACTATATTTGATATAGATGGTAACCCTACTGCGTCCAGCTGGTTTAATAGAAAGAACTATCAGAACAACGCTTTATATGTTCAAGGCCCCTGTTATGTCATGTCCGCTGTTGACAGACAATCAACTGTAATCTGATAATGTCAGCCATTATCACATTATCATTTACAAAAAATGAATTCATATCTTTTTGATTCACATTTAATATTGTCTTTTAACACTAAACGAAATTCATGTTTTTATTTCCTAGGTTATTTTTTGACGTAAAATTTATTTCATCGTCCATTTATTTCATCGACAGTTGTGCTGACTTACCGTTTAAAGACTAATACATAATTATTTTTATTTTATTTGTTGCAGTCAATATTGTAGTCACATCACAGAGACATATTCAGATATACGGCAGTTAATATGGCAGCCTCTCTATATGTTCGTGTATATTTTACTAAACATTTGATCCAATACAGTTGAAGAAACAGAAAAATGAAACATTTTATGGAATAATGCACACACTGTCAGTGAGCATTGTATCTCTCACGACCTATTCATATAAGAGCGGTTTCTTTCAACAATAATTATAAACTTGCCCGATTTTGAAACACAAAATTTAATATATATAAAATCCTCGTGTCACGGTGTTTGTAATTGAATTCCTCCGATATGGCTCGACCGATTTTCGTGAAATTTTGTGTCCATCTCGGCCAAGGTGGAGAATCGGACAACATCTATTTTTCATCCCCCTAAATGTTAAGGGTGTTCCACCAAACTACAACATTTTTTTCTACCCTACAAATAATTTATAAGGCAAAACAACGTTTGCCGGGTCAGCTAGTAATATATAAAGCTATATAAGTTCTTACTATCATGCACGTAAAAATTTGTAGAAAAAGTACGAAAAGATTGCTGTGGGAATCGAACTCACGTCTTCGGCAATAATAAATTTAAAATTTCTAAAAAGCAATGGCGATATCTCTCGTTCGAATTATCATTGTAAAACGATATTCTAAATTGTTTGTATGCTGGAAAGGATATAACAATAGATCCGCCAAGCATTGCTTTAAATGCTAAGAAACAATGTGGATAAAAGACGTTTAGATTTTCGTCGGTGTGGCAATCAGCCGTTTAGCTTAGTGGCTAAAGCCTCAGGCCGCGAATGCTGAAGACGTGGGTTCCATTCCCACGGCGGCGACAATATTTTCTTACTTTTTCTACAAATTTTAATGTACAATCTTAAGTTTTTTTTTTATGTGAAAACTTGCCAAGCGAGCGGGCGGTTCACCTGATGTTAAGTGAGTACCGCCGCCCATGTACATCTGCTACACCCGAGGGTTGCAGATGCGTTGGACAACCTTTTGAAAATTGGGCTCCGGCTACTTCATTCACCAGAAGAAACGCGAAAGTATTATACTTCCACTTTACGCTCGTCTTCTGTGAGGTCGTGGTACTTACCCGGACGAGCCTGCACATTCGTGCAGCAGCCGAGGTTGCTGCGTGGCTCTACCACCGTATGTATGCTGGAAAGGTTATAACAATAGATGCGCCAAGCATTGCTTCAAATGCTAAATTACAATGTAGAAAGAAACGCGTTAAGATTTTCGTCGCTGTGGCTATCAGCCGTTTAGCTCAGTGGCTAGAGCGTCAGGTCGCGAATGCCGAAGACGTGGGTTCGATTCCCACAGCGGCGACAATCTTTTCGTACTTTTTCTACATGTTTTAATGTTCAATCTTAAATGCAGAGATTAGCACTTATAATAAACTTTAAAAACTGTAATAAATTTAAAAACATGCTCGTTATAATAAGTATTGTTTTACTCCGTGAGTTACAAGTCTCATTATTTCTTTTTCGATGTTAATTTTTTTGTAATAAACATAATAATATTATCGGCTACTTTTTTATTTGAATCTTCGGCTTGTTGAATAGTGTTAATCAATACAGTATCATTGGTATCTGGTAATAGTAGACATAATAGCCCGGCAAAAAGTGCTAATACACTGAAAATAATTATTGATACCCATTCGATGCCAATATTGACTACAAATGGAGCTATAAAACTGCCGAATCTGGCGAACATCGAAGCGAATCCCATCGCTGAGTTTCTTATAACTGTAGGGAAAACTTCTGACGAATATAAATACACTTGGACGAACGATGTGTACGCTCCTAATTGACCGATTATAGCAAACGCCAAAGATACAGATTGATTTCCATCGGGTATGAATATAAACACAAGTAACGATACAGCAGCGACCGAAAAACTAATGATGACACCCATTTTTCTCTTTAAATACAATGAAGCGAGTACGACTAAAACTAGGCCCGGAAGCAAACAGGCAGCCGAAAGCATCACGTTGAAATATAAGTCTCCTTGCAGCCGTCCTATGTACTGGTTAACGCCGAAGAAAGTGTGCGCACAGCAAAACCAAATGAAGGCACTTATTACTGAGTATACTCTTATTCTTGGCGTTATGAACAGATCTAAGTAAGATCCATATTCTTGATGCTTTTGCTTTAGAGATTCTTCTTCAATTTTATCGACGATACTCTCAATGTTTGTCACCGGTCGATTGTTTCTGCAATATAAACAATAATAAACAAAAAATTATAGTGTATGAAGGACTGAGGTTACATAAATTATTATATCCAATGGTAAGCTACATTACCTTTTCGCGATATTGGTTAAAATATATATAGCTTCTTTCTTTCGACCCATTGTTATTAACCACCTAGGAGATTCTGGCAGTAACCAATAAGTTACTACAACAAATACCCAGGGCACTGATGTTACTAGTTGCAAGTATCGCCAATCCCTCACATAATAGGCTATTATAGGATGCACGAAATATCCAGTGATGTAAGAAATTTCAAACAATCCCGTTAAGTATGGGCGGAATGACTTTCCGCTGAGTTCTATCACTAAGACGTAGGTGCATAGCATGGTGCCTCCAACGGCGGTTCCAATGAGAAAACGACACACGAGAAACATCCAGAATTCTGGGACGACGGCTGATACGGCTACAAAAATAACGTTCAGGGTTAATGCTAGCCACGACGCAATCCTACGCCCGTATCTGAAAAATATCGTACGAGTTACTTCAAAACAGATTATAATTGGATTTTCTACAAATGGCACAAAGTAAAATTCATTTCAGTTAGTAATATTCATATATTTATTATTAAATTTATTTTATCGTTTTATGTACACATGTCTTTTATATGAGCATCATGCGAAAGAATAAATCAAAGGATGTTAGTCGATTCTTGCAAATTTTTAGCACAGTATCATCATATGTCACCGAATATCTTCTTAATGTAAGTATATAAATTACTTGTCACGTTGTTTCTCCGCGATGAGCTCCTAAATTACCGATTTTAATCAAATCTGCACACCGTGTGCAGTTTGATCCGACTTAAAAGATAGCTTACATCTCAATTAATATAATTATATAATTTATATATTTATATCCCATAGATGGCGCTATGTTAAAAGTCGAAACGAATGGACCCGGCAGATTTGACGCAGAAGTTGCGCCAAGTTGCGCGGGCCATCTAGTAATACTATAAAATGTTTATAGGAAGATGGTAAAGGTAAAGTAATTATCTACAAAAACTATTCTATTTTTAAAAGTATGTCTTATTTTAAATTCAAATATCAATATCATTATTTTTAATATGTTTAATTACCAATTAAAAAGTGTATCACTACATAGTATAAAACAAAGTCGTCCCGCTGTCTGTCTGCCCCTATGTATGCTTAGATCTTTAAAACTATGCAACGGATCTTGATGCGTTTTTATATAAACTATACACTATACAAGTTAGAGTGTACAAGAGGAAGTTTTATATGTATAATTCATTGCTCCCGTGACTGAAATATCACTGATAAGTGGCGCTAGATGGCGTTGTCGTACTTTAATAAAAAAACTGTTAGCTGCTGTCGAAACGATTTCTTTTATGTTGTTTAGTTGTCGTCATCAGTGAAGGACGTAGTCTTAAATAATTTTTTAATTATAATTTTTGAGATACAAGAAAGGGTGATATCGTGTTACCACAGAAAAACATATTTGTAAAATAATTATTTTAGTACCTACATAGGATAATAATTGTAGGAGTTTGACGACTAGACATTGCACAAGTTTTATGAATTAATAAGTTTCGATTATCGATTCTCAGACCAGTTTTTAGTATATCGATATAAAACAGAAAAATATTTAGGACATAAAAAAATCTTTATAAATGTCATCATACTTCATAGGTTGAGAAAAACGAAATTTGTTGCGAATGTGAATATGTTAGGTTCAGTTATACAAGCCATGGCAGTTCATAACCATTTTTCAATCAGTTAATATCTTTTTTCCTAATTTTATCCATCCATTCCATTGATATCCATTTTTATACAAATCCAGATTTTAATGATAAAGATTTTAAAAAGAAATAATTTATTTGCACGCTTCTTCCGTTTTCTGGGTAGTTATTTATACATTAAAAGTGTTTCAATTTACACACAAAGAAAATGTTTATGAAAAGGAAGTTACTGAATGTTTAAAAGGGTCTGAACTGCTAGGAATAATAGTTATATCTTCTCATTAACGTTCACCTGACGCGATTTAAACTAATTTAGAGCAACAGCATTAGCAAGTGTATATAAACACAAAGTAATTTGGTTGTATTCTTTAACTATCATATTTTGTTTATTCTTAATTCTATAATTGTATACTCTAAATGTTAAAACTTTAAATTGGCGATAACCTTGTTCAATTGTATTGTAGCTGTAACTAGCTGTAACTTTTACAACAAAGAATAAAAGAAATAGAGATCTAAATGATTAATTTTGACAAATAAATTGGAATAATATGGAAGCTTACCTATCTGAAATATAGCCATAAATTAGGCTCCCCGCAAGTATTCCGATCTGTAGCATCGATTGGGCTAAGCTAGCCAGTTGTGTTCTGCCACAAATGAGGTCCCAAGTACTGGTGACAGAGCTCGCAATGCCGCTTGTGTCATATTCAGGGTTTTCGCAAGGGCAGTAATTGGTGGCATTCAAGGCTTGTGGATCCAAACAGACATAATCGACACTCGGCAAAATGAATACGACATTGGTGAGCTGAAATTCAGTTGGATAACGGGATATCGTCACCAAAAATAAAATCCACGATTGATACAAACCAAATTGTCCGATGATATTTTGTATGTGATCTATTTCTGTCATTTTCACGAATTAGGCTTTCACACTGAATAAACAATGTAACTTTTACCACGCATTATTTGCACCGCAAAGGTACTATAAATGTTTTTGCGATAATGCCCACATACGACTGGAGTATTAAATATATCTTTTATATGGAATGCCAGTTAAATACTGCAATTAAAGTATAAACAGTCGTCCATACTATATTATATCAGTATAAGATAAAAGACTTTGATAAAGGAAATTATCAAATTTACAGCGCAAGCATGATTTAAAAAATAAAAAAAAAGTTCGGCAACCTTTAATAATTAACAATAATAAAGATTTTTGTTTATTTTTTGTTTGAAAATACTAAGATGAAATATTTACATAATATTATAGAGAATGGAGTATATGCGTCGTAATTGATTAATTGTAACCGTAATTACTTATCCACTAGGTGTGTAATTGTTGAATTTGAGGTTGAAAACGTGAGAGAAGTTTATGATAAGTTACCTTAACAAGCAGGTGAAACTTAAAGTAAATAAATAATTATGTAAAGTATGTTAAAGTATATTTCTTCGACTAAGCACCTTACTTAACATGCGAAAATATGGGAACACATGAGTGCTATTTAAACTGAGCTCAATGCAAAAAAAAAATGTCTTCTGAGGTAACAAGAATAACAAGTATAATTTTTAACAAAAAAACAGACTTCAATCAGAAAATGAAAAACATTGTTAATACCATAGTTAGAGAAATCGAGTGCCATCATTGAATGTTATATCAATGATGGCGCTCGATTTCTCTGGGATGCCATCATCAGATCCGGGTTTCCTTATCACGGTAACACCATCCACAAACACACATAAAAAAATATGTACGGTCGAATTGAGAAACCTCCTCCTTTTTTGAAGTCGGTTAAAAATATATAACTCCACCGAATTGAGAATTTCCTCCTTTCTTGTACTCAGTTGAAGACTACATCGGTACATATAACATATGTCAAAATATAATTTTTCGATCAAGGTAGTGCCACGCAGCGCCACGAATGGGCAGTTTCTCTGGATAGTAGTAAGTAGGACTTCATCATCATCAGGCATCATCAGGCTTAAATTTTTTAAAAGTTTTTAATTATTACGCATATGCCAATATGCGTCTCCGAAGGAAATTTCGATGTTCATGTGCGGCGATTAATCAGATACTTTTTTAATTTTCTAGCAGATTAAATCGATTCCGCTTGTATGTCACAAGCGGAATTAAAAAAATTAGAAATAGCAATGCTAATATGATAGGACAGAGATTTCCTATTATTTTTTGAAGATACATTGTTTTTATTAAACAAAGTAAGATACTTTGGTCAAAATACCAACAGAATTTATAAAGAAATAAGCCAAATAAGAATGATAGGAACAAATTTATCAAACACGTGTATAAATAATGATAAATACAGACAATGAATAAAGTTGTTGAGTATCAACGTCATTTTATTAACCTTAACAAGTATTTACAACACAAACTCTGAAAGACGATAAAGGGGCTCAGACATAACTATAATTATAAAAATATTTCTAAAATATATTCAACTTAATTTATCACAGCCTATTCAAATAGACTTAATGAACTTTATGAATGAATCATTTTGGTATAGTAACAATGGTCATGATAAGTTTCTTTTAAAAATTGGTTATGAACAAATGTTGAAACGTAGTTAGGTCTTACATAGTCTATTATTTAAGATACTATGTCATAGTTATATATTTTTATACAGTGAGAAAACCAGCAAGTAGATTCTGGTGGTAAGTGATTCTTCATGTCATTTACAACACCACAAGGAACTGGAGAGTGGAAGATGGTTTCACAGCTTTACACCCTTATCATTTTCTTAATGTCTTATATAAAGAGAGCGTCCGACTTTAGTTGAATTGAATGAATGAACATACGAGCAATAGGCATACTGACAGATTAAGCGTAAAATTGTTCTGTTTGGAATAATAAAAACTATAAACTGATTTAAAACAAAAATCGTTTGACACAACTAAGCGAAGTCAGATAAATTCGTTCGCACATTTGTGTGTTACAATAAATAATTTAGAATACAAATAAGTTAGACCAAAAGAGTTCTACGGGTGTTCATACTTCTCCCTCATCCAATGTGTCCGGAAGTTTCTTTCCGCGTGTGTCGGGTAATATTAGGCAAAGCGCGGCGCCGATTAAGGGTACGGCGCCAAATGCCAGTGGGGGGAGCCAGAAGTACGTCACTTTTAGGGTTGCCACAAACGGTGCGAGCATTGAACCGATCCTGGCTACTGTTGATGCCAGTCCGACGCCCGTATTCCTGACGACCGTTGGGAATAGTTCACCGGCGTAAAGGTAGACCGTTGCGAAGGATATGCTCATTCCCCACAGGCCGATGCAGCCGAGGGCCAGGTGACTGGCGCCCGTGTCGGGGACAACTATGATCAGCAAGCAGCTGAGTCCGGTAACGCAGTTGGAACCGATCAGTGTCACTTTACGGCCCAAAACGCGGTTGGAGTAGATGGAAATAAGCGTTCCGGGGACCTGAAAACATAAATAGGCTAGTATTCAATAAAAAAAATATTATTACAATGTGAAAAATTTGTTATTATAAATATGATATTCACGTAAATAAGACAGCCGTGCAATTCTTGACTACTAAAAGCTATGAATACATAAACCATGAACTATAGGCTAAAGTGAGGATTTGATAAGATATAGATATCTATTAGATATTATATATCCAAATTAATCATTAAACTCCGCTACTACTTTCTCCATCGAAATAACTTTCAATAATTCTACATTCGTGTAGATTGTCTTAAAATAACATTTTTTTGAACGCTAAGCTATTATGAAATATGTTGTAAAATAATAAGGTACCCGTTAATACTAATAAATTAACTATGATAAGGTAAGGGTAATACATTCCAATAAAATAATTCTAAATACGTCTAGCTTAGTTCACTAGTGTTACCTCATTAAGAACCACACGATAGAGAAGCACATAAATATTCTTATGTGTAAAAGAAGATTAACATTGATAATAATACGTAAAAAAATACAAAAAATATTATAAAACTAACAATATACAATGTATGTAAATACGTCATGCATTTGTATACATAAATAGCGAGTTCAATTCGAAAACAAGGTCATTAAATGATATAGTAATAAAAAATTATGGAAAAAAACTGGTTTCGTCATCTAATCGTTAAATCTAGTAAGATGTCAAAAATTTGCTTGCCCTTGATGCTATAGTAGTTAGAATAAATAAATAAAATAGTTTTACGCAATTTTATTTGTGACTGTGGGTTCGGAATTATTCATTTTTAGTCGAGCGGTTTGTACACTGTGTGTACCTACTGTTAGTGTTGTAGAGTTGTTATTTAATATAACTTGCTTTTTCATAGCAAGTTTTTTTTTTTTTTTAAATAAAAGCTCAAAGTTCAAATATATGGCATTAAAATATGTAAGGATTGCCTTAATAGTCAAGATAGCGTGAGTTGAACTGAAGATTATTATGAATATAAAATTTCTCTTTTGAACCCAAAACTGCTGTGTAAATAAAATGAATGCACGCTCAACATCTTCATACGTTTTATACAGCATAGTACAAGACGAGCTGAATATATAACGCTTTTACGCAATAAAAAGCACATTTTGCATTTCAAATTTTAAATAAGACGATAGAACGAAAAAGAAAGTTATTGTGTGACTTAAATACTAATATAGAGAAAACACGCGATTCTTTTTTTACTACGCATAATAAAAGAAATTGAGAATGTTAGAGGTCAAATAAACTTTAATGGATATGTAAAATAGAATTTGTATTATTTTGTTTGTGTGTGTAGTATAACTGTGTAGGTTCAAACAACAGTGTTCGCTGTTACACGAATGGATGGATAAATCCATCCGGTTAGGTGTCACGACCTCACAGAAGACCGGCGTGAAGTGGAAGTGATAAGCTTTTGCGTTTCGTTTGGCGAATTTTTTTTGGGCTGGATGAACCACTGTTGGCCTTAGGAGCCTTTACAGTTCCGACGGGTTTGAGGTGGTCTGGCGCACGGGGCGCCTAGCCTGAACCTCGGCGTATTATTATTACGCGATTGCGATTAGCCAGGACCCACTTTATTATAAGATGGCGTCGCTGAAATAATGTTTCCTGTTCAAAAATCTCGTATTTTTATGACATCCTCTATCATCTATATCAATAGGTACCTCAAAAAAATTATTACATTAAAATATGCAAATTAATTACGCCGCACTGAAATCCCACGATTTTTAACAATTATACAAATTATAAAAGAGTAACGCCCGGTTTTTGAAACAGTGATCATCGCAGAAATTAAGTAATCAGCTGTCAAATGGCTTTCAAATGTCATTTGGGTTGCCAAAATGATGTTTAAACTCTCTGAATTGGTCAGAATGATCTTTTTAGTGATAACAATGATCAATTCAAAGAGTTTAACCATCCTTTTGGCAACTTAAATGACATTTGAAAAGCCATTTGACAGCTGATTAGTCAAATTCTACGATGATCAGTGTTTCAGAAACCGAGCGTTAAAGTTGTAAATGATTTTATTCAAATGAAATATTTCTTTATACTGAATCTACATGCTTTAAATCATCTAAAACTAAAAAAAAAACAATTAATAAATAATTATTAAGTGCTAATCAAAAAGATGAATTTTACAAACATATTAAGGACAAAAATGGTTGTCGTCGTTAGCAAATAAAATTAAAATTCTTCTTTAATCACCAATTTGTAAATAATTACACATAAACACGATCGATCATGCTTACAAGTAGAAAGCTAAAACGACACGTTTACAAGCAGACCGGTTTTAATTGAGAAATATTAAATTTATAAATAGGCGTGTCACCTGAATCGCCGCCGAAACGGCAACATTGGAGAATATGTCGCCGGACACGTGGCCGATGTACTGCGAGACGCCGAAGAAACACAACCCGCAGACGAACCAGTTGAAGCAAATAGCGACGGTGCGCGCGCGCAGTTTGGGCGTCCGGAAAAGCGCCAGGAACGAAGCCCGCTCTTGCTGGGCGCTGCTGAGCTCCGCCACTATCTTCTGTGTAGAAGCTGCTATGTTGTCCGTTGGCAAACCGTTCCTGGGATAAAGAAAAGGGTGTTCTTCATTAAGTACGTGCTACATTGCACGGAGTTTCTACTTGCAATCATAAACAACCACTCAACAAGGCTTGTAAACTGTCACGTTTGGGGCCAAATGAGCCTTGGGAAGCACGGGTAACTATAGAAATCATAATATCAAGATGAATTAATTTGTAATTAAAATAATTTCAAAAACTAATTAGTAAGCGCCAGGAGTAGAATCAGAAAAAAAAACTCTCAAGGTTGATTATCACACCACAGTCGCGGTAATTTTTAACACAGGTACACTGAAATCTGTCTAAGAATTTTCTTAAATATTACAGACACACAGGGCAAACGAATTAAAATTGTAAATACGAACCTTTTGGCTGCCGCCTCCATTATAACCGTAGCTTCTTTCGCCTTGCCTGACGTTAACAACCATCTCGGTGATTCGGGCAGCAGGAAGTAATAGCTTAAAAACAACACCGAAGGTAGGGATATCGCCAGCTGGAAGGTGTTCCAGTCCCTCAAGAAGTATCCGAACAGCGGCAATGTCAAGTGCCCCAGGTTGAACGGTATCTGATACAGGATTCCCACGGTTTCTCTATACTTGGCGCCGATGATCTCCATGGTCAAGACGAAGCTGGCGACCATTGTGCCGCCAGTGGCAACCGCGAGCAGGAAACGGAGGATGGTGAACATGTACCAATTGACAGAGAACGCCGTTATAACTCCAGAAACAAGCTGCAGACACACCGCTGCCAAGAATGGCTTCCGTCTACCGAACCTGAAAGCGAAGAGTGACGTCACAATTAAAGACACAAATAAAGAACCTTCATAACCAAGTGTGCGTCACTCGTCAAACGAATTGCTTGAATTGTATGGTTTTGATTTTTTTTGTGTCAAAATTGATTTTCTGTGAGTCTGATTAATTTTATTGTCTGTATTTAGTTCCGCCATTTGCTGGATTATGTAAGCTATCTGCTTCAGCACAGTGACGTAGATTCTAAAATAGTAGATATGTTTTTTTAAAATAAAGCAAGTCATAACTTGTCTTAATCTTTCTGTTAGGCACAGTTGCGGTACGAAGTTTGAACAGTTTTTGCCGTAAAAGTTTCGAGAGAATTGGTCGGGGTACAAATTAAAGATCATTGGCTAAAGTAATTGCATCCGGATCTCAGTGCCGTTCGATATTTAAGTATTCAAACGTATACAGGATGTATCAATTGGTTGCAAGTGAACTAAAGCCTACATTTATTTCTCACGACGATATGATCTTGTCACATGGGAAGATTTAACGAACCCAGAAAAGATTGAAAACATATCACAACATTCTAATCTAATATTTCTTTCTAATTCATAATTGAACATTCACAATTGACCTCATTATATACAACGAATAAATGTATATAAATAAAAACAGAATAGGACAAACCTATCAGAAAGATGACCAAAAACCATGTTTCCCACAAGGATGCCCGACATGAAGACCGTCTGTGTCAAGCTTTTCAACCATTCTCTGTCGCACACGAGATTCCATTGTGAGATTATCGTCTCTTGAAAGACGCTTCGATCGTAGTCGAAATCGGTGCAATTGTTATATTCAGCTAAGCATACGCTCCCAAAGTCATGTTCTGAATTTGCACAGGTGAAATTCATGGGTGGGGCCAGAAATATGATGCTCATTTGATGCCAGGCCACTGGAAACTTGACGAGGAAAACTACACAGCATATCCAGATTTGCCATTTTCCTATCGCACCGATGGCTTTTGTTAGAGGATCTTCGCTAGCTTTCTGATTTTCCAATTCCTTGTTATCACGCTCTAACACTGAAATTAACACAGTCAAAATTTAAGTCATTTTCTGATATAAAAATGTGCTCCTTTTTAGGGTTCCATACCCAAAGGGTAAAACGGGACCCTATTACTAAGACTCCGCTGTCTATCTGTCTGTCTGTCCGTCTATCACCAGGTTTTATCTCATGAACCATGATAGTTAGACAGTTGTTTCACAGAATATATAGCAGCCGCTATAATAACAAATACTTAAAAACAGAATAAAATAATATTTAACTGGGGCACCCATTTTTTTTGCGTTTTTATTGATAATGGTATGGAATCCTTTGTTAAGTGTAATGTTTACGGTGGTAGAGTCACGCAGCAGCCTCGGCTGTTGCACGAATGGGACTCAGACTCGACCGGGTAGTACTTTACGCCGGTCACACAAGACCGGCGTAAAGTACGACAAATACTTTCGCGTTTTGTCTGGTGAGTGATGTAGCCGGAGCCCAATTTCCAAAAAGGTTGTCAACGCATATGCGAACCCTAAGATGTAGCAGATGTATATTGCGGCGGTATTCACTTAACGTCAGATAAACTGGCTGCTCGTTTGGCAACTTTCACATTAAAAAAAATGTTTTCGTTTATTATACAAACGTATATATACAAATTGCACACCAACATAAACTCGGATCCATATTTGTGGATCACGATGTGTAGAGCCGAAGTTGTCTATCAACTGCGCCAACCCATTACCTAGCAGTTGGTCTGATTTAAAGTAGTTCTGACCGTTATAATCAGACGGAAGGTTCTGATTTATATGCATCACTAAAACTCCTATTTGTCGAAATCTAGCAAACCAAATAAAAAAGGGAGTCAATAACTTGTAACTTTTAGAATTATTATATAAAATGTTGAACTAGTAATAACATACAGATGGTTGAACTCGAAAAACATCAGTGTAAATTACAAGTTTTCGAGATTAAACATTTTATTGTTAATAAGGTGGATAATTAATTAATTTATTCATAACGTTAGAGACTGCTAAATCGTTATATTTTTTGGTAATGTTACCTGGGGAGTTATTTATTTGACCAGAATTATGAATGACTAAAAAACTGAACTTATTAGTTTACATTTATGACTAATTTTTTAAACTTCCAACAATTAACGTCAAACAAGAAACATAAAAGAACGATAACAATTTTCTAAAAAATTATTACATTCTTAATAAATACAAAAAAAACAAAGCTTTGACCTTACCATATTTGAAACCATTTTTAAACAAATAAGAAAATTAAATATATTCCGTGAATCCATAAAAATATTACTAAATAGTTACAATTAACACAGAATTTATATGGTACAAATGTCTTGGTTATTGTTAATTGAAGAAGCCACATGCTATTTTATATAAAGTCAATGTTCACTTATTATAACTAGAAAGTTAAGGTTTTTAAAATAATTCTGAAATATTATTTCACTCACCCATTAGGTTTATGTTCTCCGACTTATATTCATCGCCAGAAACCATCTTAAGAATTATTTTAGAATATTCGTGGCCGATACAAAGTATTATTCATTGATCAAATGACATTAATTTTATTCCGGAAAAATTTAACGAACGCTACTGTTGGCGCGTCGAATGCAAATGCCGAATGGATTATCTAAAAATGTTTTTAAGACCGCCTACGCGATCCGAACTGCTCGAGTCCCTCGCTTTTAGCCTCATTGAATAATGTTTGTCTTGAAATTGGATAACTACTTTCAAGGCGGTATCGTTTGTTGCTATTTATTTTGAGGGTGTTAAACAATGGGTATAACAAATATGTAATAACTTTTGGCATATATCACTTCGCCATTTCTGAATGATATTATAAGGGTATTGGTTGAATGAAGTAAATGTGGAGCGTGCTACATAGATTGAATTGCGTAATAAATTATACCGCTTACATAACCATCTTTTGCCGTGACCATTCCATCGGAACACGTTGGCCAGCTGATACGACGCAATCACATATCGACGGAATAGGATACGATACAAGTCAACCAGACAACTGAACGCCTGTTAGACACGAGAAATTAATGGAACGCCACCGCATGGGACCAGATATTATTGTGGCGCGAAATAATAAGTTTCAGCTTTATTTCAAAGTTAAAGATTCCGTATTATGAAATGTATAACAGCTCTAATGAAATGTCAAAAGAACTTAACGTCAAACTATTAAATAATATACGACAGGATAATTAACAAATGTGAAGATGAGTATAAATAATTGTTCTTTCTTCACGTGTTTTCAGTATCGGTTAGACGGATTGGAATTGCGTAGGCTTATGAAATTGTGGACCACTATACTATGCCCGCCTTCCTTGGACAAACGGTTAATTTATTAAGGTCCAGCTTGGACAAAGAGGAATTCCGCTCCATGAATTCAACTAGGATGGGCGGCGTTCGAAAAATTACACGATATCTTCCGGAGTGTCTAAGGAGAAAGTATATAATCAGTGTGTGTTGCCAGTGATGACGTATGGCACTAAGACGTGGTCTTTAAAAGTTGGCCTTTTAGAGAAGCTCAAAGTCCCGAATTTCCTTTGCGTGAAAAATAAGTGCAAAATACGAAGCGAGGAAATTCGCCAAAAAATCAGAGTTACTGATATAGCTCCGTGGCGCAGTTGCCAAGGCTGCGGCGTCGGGGGTTGTGGGTTCGAGTCCCAGACGGGACAACTATTTGTGTGACCCACAGATAGTTGTTTCGCCTCTGGGTGTTTGTCCACGTGAAATGTATGTTTGTAAAACATCCTTACAACACAGGATAATGTTATCCTAAAGTAAGGGCAATGTTTTTTTAAAGATAATAAAAAAAATAAGGGGTCCGTCCGGGTAAGTACCACGATCTCACGGAGGACCGGCGTGAAGTGTTAGTGTTATAATTCTGCGTTTCGTCTGGTGAGTGAGGTAGCCGGAGCTCACTTTATTAAAAGCTAGTAATAATTTGCCACCCTGGTGCCCGGTGTTGCTAATTTGCTGGCTGCGGTTATCACTTAACATCGGGTAAACTCGCTTGCAAACTTCTCACATTAAAAACCCCATGGTTGTAAACGTTATTTCTTCCATTGGGAATTTCTTTGTGATATGCTTACTTCTTTACTTTACGCGAATACCGCACATTGTAAGACTATTTGATGGATCTTGTCCCGTTTAATTTGTTATTAAAATTGTTTGTTATCAAATTATGAGAAAAAGCAAAACAAATTTATGGAAACTTTGAATGACCCGCGTATAACTTTTTTTTATTTATACCTAAATGTGTTATTAACTGTAACGTTGAATGAACTATGAACCGAGGGAGATACGGTACAGATAGCGGAGCAGTCTGCGATCTTACAATTTTCTTCTTATCACGCTCAGAGGCGAGCCAAGTCTACTATGACAATAACTGGTCTTCCCGGAAAAATGCGATGACTCATTATTTTTTCCAATCAATGTTTTATACTGGGGGAGTAATCATAATTGCATACGCACGTTCTAAGTATAAATACTAATTAATGTAATGTAATTAATTTACTATTACAAAAGTATAAAATTGATACCCTTGTCTGCGATTTCAGTCGTATTTCATTGCAGAAATTACGACGTCGTAAATTATTATTGTTAAAATTTCTGTTAGTCTATTTTTCTTAAATAGGCTTCAAAATGTCTCGTAAGATTAACATGAACACTATGGTGATTTAAAATTCGAATTTCGTGAAAAAAGCGTTTCAAAATCAACTAGAATTAAAAATACATAAATATTAATGGTTATTATATTGATATAATATAATTTGTAATGAATAGTAATGACATTAATCTTTTCATTAATGTCATTACTATTCATATATCTGAATTGAATTCAAATACTATACTGATATCAAATCCGCCAAGGACAAAGTCCAATTATAGTAATAAAATTTAAGAAACAATTTTAAAAAACCCTGTTTCTACTGACTGGTGAAACTTTAATTGACAGAAAATATAGTACGATGGCGATGTCTTAAAGAAAAAATCTAAAAAAATATTTTTATGTTGATAAGAAATTTCTAGAATTTATACGAATAGTATAATAAAAGTATTAAAATAGATTTCTTTTGTACGACAAAGCGGCAAGACACCATAAACGCTACTGTACTGTATACGTAGGGAATTTGAATGTACGAAATTTTCCGTAGAGAATTAATGTTATAAGTTTGTCTGTCTTAATAAACAGAAGATGTAAATATGTCTTTTATATTTCGATACACACGACAAATATTAAATCATTTTCTTTCTACAATAAAAGTTTTTCGTATAAACAGGGAGGCTTTTCTAAGTGTATCCATTTTTTAAATTAAACTATAGACATAAATAATGTCATATAAAAAATGATAAATATTTAAACTCACTCGTAATTAGTTAAATACATGCATTTAAAATTATCTCAAAAAGTGCGTGATTTATGGGCAACTCATTTATTTTACGCGCGATCATTCATAACTAACACGCACACAAGTTCGTTTCAAAAGTATACGAAGCATTTATGAATGACTACCGCATTGTCAACAAGTTCTGTTTTTTAGGGAATTGAATGGCAATTTTTTTGAAAAAACAAAGTTTGTATTTATTTCAATAAACGATTATACTACCGACTCTGAACCTCCTGTGTGAATTTGGGCAACTTTTAAAAAGTCTCCCTGTATATCTAATAGATATCTATGTCTTATCAAATCCTCACGTTCGCCTATAGTTTATGGTTTATGTATTCATAGCTTTTAGTAGTCAAGAATTGCACGGTTTTAGAAAAGCCACCCTGAATATTTTAGGGCGTGCTATGTAGAACTGCCAAAAGAAGTTGTTTAAAAGATGACGATAGCCTGAACTAACCATGAAACATTACATATAACATCGCAGTATGACCCATGACCATGAACTAAAGCCCAAACCATAATTAAACGCGAAAAAGTAAACTATGTAGTTTTATTTACCAGTATTTGTTTAGCTCTGTGTCCGGGCACTCGTCTTTCATATACTCAAGCAACCTAAGTTTGATCTCCGGTGCCGACACCAAAGAAACTGTTAATTTTAAGCGCTGAATTATCAAGTCCTCAGCGGTGAAGGAAAACTGCAGTGGGGTTGCATGCCCTTTGTACAGAGAAGGCTTTTGCCCAGCAGTGGGATAAGTATAGGCTGTTTCTTTACTTTACTTTTATTCGTATAAACAAAAAAATAATAATTAATAAAAAATAAAATAATATATATAATTTTGTGTGTTCGTGGGTTCGATTCCCACAGCGGCGACAATCTTTTCGCACTTTTTCTACATATTTTAATGTTCAATCTTAAGTTCAAAGATTAGCACTATAAACAATTTAAATTTCTATATAATTTTGAATAAAATCGAGTTTTTGTTAACGATATCCTGTAATGTATTATTGCTAAAACTTGTCATGGTAGGGTTTGTGTAGCCTTTTTTGTAGAGTTTAAGTCAAAAGAAGCTAATGTACAGGCCTTAACTAATTCTATCGGGATGATAATTTTTGCGTTTACTATACAAGCTTTGCAGTATATTAAAACAGTCACTTTTTAATATGAAATGTATTGTTTAATGTTCCTACTTCTATCTATGAGCTGACTGACTAACAGAAATCTTACTTACGGTGGTAGGGCCACGCAGCAGCCTTGGCTGTTGCACGAACGGGCAAGCCCGTCCGGGTAAGTACCACGACCTCACAGAAGTCCGGCGTAAAGTGGAAGTATGACAAATACTTTCGCGTTTCGTCTGGTGAGTGAGGAAGCCGGAGCCCAATTTTCAAAAGGTTTTCCACGCATCTGTAACCCTGGGGTGTGGCAGATGTCCATGGGCGGCGGTATTCACTTAACATCAGGTGAACCGTCTGCTCGTTTGACAACTATTCGCATAAAAAAAAATCGAAGAAGGGATTCTTGGCGGTACGTTACATTAAATATAGGTACATTTATTTATTTAATTAATTATGACAACGTCTAATAAATAATTTTCCACAATTATTGAAGAAAAAACGTGTATTACCTGTTTCTCGGTCGATGTAGGTAATATTTTTAAGCGCATTATCGTATAAGGCATCGATTCAAAGTATTCAAGCCATTCAGCGTGCGAATTCGTAGCGAGGTGAACCGTAGGCAATTGCAATAGGAAGCGGAAATGACAAAAAACTTGGCGTAATAAAGTCGTGTCAGCGACACGGGATTGTGGTAGCTTTTATAAATGACTAATACTTTTTTGGATTTTGCGAAGACTCCGAGTAAAAGTTATTAACCTTAAGAAACAAGATAACGCTTGGATTGCGAAATTGGCAATCTAAAAAGTAAACTTATGTTTTTATACGCGCTGCGTTCGGTCATAATTTATTTATCAATTAAGGTCAGGACCAATGACATTTCGCCAGCGATGACCGAAAAATGTATTCATCGAAGATTTAGGATGATCAAAGGTGAATTTTTGCTGTCAAGGGCGAATGCCCTATCTACAGCACATACTAGAT